GTGTATAAAAAGAAATTGATTTGTAAAGGGAAGGAAGGGAGAGCTGGGTGGATAAGAAAAATAATTGTAATTTTTTGTGTGTATGGGTAAAAGAATACTAATTATTATTTGAATGTGTAAAAAGAGTGAGGGAATACTATTTACAATATCTTTTTTATTTTTTGAAATTGTGAGTAGGGAAATTATATTGGAGGACTGATTTTGAAAAATAATAATAATAAAGGGCTGGGAAGGGTCATAGGTCATCTCTGGGGCATTTTTTTTATAATTTAAAAAATGTATCCTCCAAGGAATACCATTGTGAATTTATTATGAAATGTTTCAGAATATTTCTAAACATTTTTTTTTTTGATATTGCCATCTGCAGAATGTATCAGTCAGGAAGGGAAATGCCTTAAAATCAAGTAAAAATTTTGCAGGATATAAAAATAGGTCTCCCAGAATTTTTTATGTTCCAATTTGAAAAAAAAAACCTAAAAGTTGTGATACAATATTTTATATAATATTTTATATGTTGATTTTAATTTCTGTAAAAAATTCTATGTGACTAATATTGCAATTTTAAAATTCCTTGAAAAAGAACTGCCTTCCCACTGAAGCATTTGTGGCCCCAATCTTTCCAGCCCTTGTTTTTATTTATTTTTTCCAAGTCAATCCTCATTAATGTTATTTTTTTATTCATTACTTTTTTGTTATTGTTAATAAATAATTGCCACGCAAGTTGTATAAAACCAATGGACCAAATCGAAAAGGGATAAAAGGAGATTCTGTTTTTTTTTCAAATTCGATTTTTGGGGTAAAAAAATAAAAAATGATAAACATGTTTTTTAAAAATTTTTAAATAGTTTAATTTTTAATTATAAAATAACCCCTTAATCATAATTTTATTTTTTATACTTTTTTAATTCTTATTTTCTAGAAGGAAGGAAGATATAGAACAGTTATTGGACAAGTTTGGAAAAAAGATTACACAGTTTATCTATACACTAATATGAAATATACAAATTATTTTAGGTTAAAATAGAGAACTTACAAAACTACAAAAAAATATATATAAAACTATAATACATATACATACATAAATACCTATACTATAATATTTGGATGTATTTTTTTATTATTAATTAAAAAGAAAAAAACTAATTTCACCAGAGGATAATCAACCAGCTCCAAAGAAATAGTAGCAGTTGACCTCCCCTCTAATGAATTAATCTCGCTATATATAATTAAGGACATAATAATATTATTTTATACATACACAAAGCAAAAAAATAATTATAAAATATATATAGTTTATTACTTTTTTATATTAATTAATTATTGTATTAAATCACACTTGAATATTGCTACTGGTTGGTTTCCATACATCATGGTAAGACGCATTTCAAAAATTTATGTTTTTCGGCGTTTTTTATCAAAAGAAACAAAAATTTGAAAACAACAACAACTTAAAGATATTTTACAAATTAAAATTAAAAAAAAAAATACAAAAAACGTAATAACAACAAGTACTTAAAAAAAGTGTATTTATTTAAATGTATTTTGTTGCGTTTTAAGCTCTTAAACTTCCTGCGCAAATGATTTGTGGCTTTTAATTCTTGGAATAATTTTTTGATGTTGATTTTTTTTTTTTTGTTTGTTTTGAATTTTTGGTGGGAATGAAAATAAACATAAACACACACACATAGAGTCGGAGAGAGAAATTTCCACTTGACATGTTCTTGATGAAACTCAATTTAATGAATTGAATGATGTGTGTTTATATGTATGTGTTGATATTAATGGCTTTGTTTTTGTTTTTTTTTTCTGGCAGGTTAGAACAAAAATCCTTCCTTAAAATGTTTTAAGATAAACGTTTTGGATTTCATTTAATTTTTTTTGTAAACGTTATCGTTTTATGGAATTTTTCTGAAATTCTCAGCTGACTTTTTGTTGTTGTTGTTGATCTCTTCAAGGAAATAATACGTTTTTTGACTTATACCAACCTCAAGGTAAAACTTATTTGTTAGAGATTTTTAATTCTGGAAAAATTTCAAACAAATAAGTGGTGTAAGTCGTTTCTTTTTTGACAAATGTGTTCCAATGAGAGTTCTGGAATATTGTGGAGGGTTATATAAAAATTTGTTGTTGTGTTTGATAAAAAAATAATAATACTGTTTTGGTGTGACTATTGTCAAAAAAAAAGGGGAGAAAGTGGATTTATTAAAAAAATTATAAAAAATGTCGGATTTTGGGTCAATGAAAAATTTGTTGAATTTGGTTTCCTAAAATTGTACACCAAAATAATACTGTTTTGGCATAACTTGTTCAGAGTGTAGAAAGTCAAGAGCTAAATTTTCAAACTGGTAGAATAGAAGGCTCATGAATCAAATTTAGAAATAATTATGTATTTCATGGGAGCTTAACTGATCAAAACATCATAATGATGTACTGGGCGTCTCAATGTTCACAATAGTAATTTTTTTAGAATTTCCGATTATATTGCCAAAAATCCAAATATTATATTGATATTAAAAGCTTTGGGTTAATATCGACTTTATTCTTAACGAGCTTTTGATGACACACATAAGCGTTGAAGAAACGTAATCAAAGAAAGCTTTTTACAAATTATTAAAATTTATATAAATTGTTCACTAAATATTTTCTGAAAAACTAACTTTTTAAACTTTACGGTTAATTTAAAGCTTTGAAATTAGCAATTATCTTTTAATTTACTAACCAATTTTTTGTTTGCTTTCTTTTACAGATTCTACAAGCCTTGACCTACAAAACTTTTAACCAAGGTAAGATGATTTTTTGTAAAGCTTTTTTAATATGAACATAAAGTAACTGTTCCTTCAAGCTTCCAACTACATTTTTTATGTGGAAAAACATTATTAAAAAAAAATTAAATGAAAGCTCTGGACAACTTATTTTCGAATGAAATTAATTATATTTCGGTTATTCTCCAAAGTATTATATCCATTTTACACAGAAAAAGCTTTTCATATACTCTCTGCTGAGCTTTAAGTCCAGTTAAAAATATAATAGCTTTGATCATTTGTAATAAAAACGGTTCCAATAGCTTTATCATGGCCATGCTTCAAATTATTTTTTTCAACGGATCTTTTTAAAACAAGAAGCTTTTTCTAAATTAACTACATAATTTCAAATCCGTTTAAGATATAATTGCTTTGATCATTTGTTTTAAAACCAACTTCAAAAACTTTGAGCGACTGTGGGAAATACTATTTCTTATATTCCTTATAATTGATGAATATTTACTAGGCTATATACATTTAAGGTAACAAATTTTAACATCAAGCTTTTCTCTGAGCTTTAAATATTCCTTCTAAGTAGTCATCAATTGAGAGATTTTAATTTGTTTTACCAACTTTCGCCTTAACCTTATGTAGTAGAACTTTACTATGAAAGCTTTTTGTAGATTTAATCACCTTGAGCTTTTATAAAAGTGAAAACATTTTTAATGAAAGTGTCAACTCGATTTTATAAAAAAAGCTTCCTGTCTATCTGGTATTGAATTTGTAGAGAAGCTTTTTGGAAAATATATTTGAGATTTTTATAAAATCGAACTATTTACCACATCATATTTAATTAACTTTGCAATAAACCAGTACAATTTTGAAGAGCTTTTCTGTTCAGGTTATTTTCTTATAAAAATCATCTATTTATTGAGAAAGAATTTAATTTTTGTTGGTTTCCTTTTTTAAAAAAATTTAACCCCTTGTGACATTTATACAAAATTATTCTCATTTACATTAAGTAGTATATTCATTATTATATATTTCAGCTATTAGATTTTGGTCTGAAACAAATTTCCTTGAGCTTTCCTAAAAGCTTTAAAAGATGTGTCTGCTTTTTGTAAAGACTACTCAAAAAAAATCTCTATTAGGTTGATATCCTTATTGGGGCGTATTTCTGTTTTCGTTAATATACTCTTTGAGCTTTTAGGTTCTTTGAGCTTTTAGGCTGCTGTTTGTAAAAAACACTATTTAATATTAAGGAATATTCAATTAAGAAATCCAGAAAGATTTTAGATTGATTTTGATCAGTATACTCCTTGAGCTTCCATTAAAGCTTTTAAGATGACTTATTCTGTCTACTTGTAATATAGTTGCAATATAATTAATAAATCTTAAGGGTTGTAGTTTGACATTGATCTATTAACTCCTAGAGCTTATATAAAAGCTTTAGCGATGACTTCTTCATTTTATTAATTTGTTAAGGTCATTAAAGCTTTAAAGTTAATTTTCTCTGTTAAATGTGAAATGTTCTTCAAAAAGACCCTATATGATAAAAGCTTACATATTTAAAGCTGTTCAATTTTTTTATGTTTTATATTTTTTTACAATATTTATTTACATGAAGGATCTTTTGACGTATATTAGTTTTTTTTTTTTGCAATAATATTCCAAAACTCTCTTCTACACTTCACTTTTTTTTTGCTTTCAAGAAATTTTATAAAAACGGATTGCCTTTCTTATTATTTCCTTCTCTTTCTTCCTAACTGTCTTTCTACAGTTTCTCTCCAGCAATCTATAGTAAAAAGTACGTTACAATTTACGTTAACGTCATAGATGCTGTATTTTTTTCTCGCGAACAACAAAATTTGAGTCATTTGAGAAAAAAACTACTCCATAAGCTTTTTTAGAAAGCTTCTTTTAAACCTGCATGCTTCTCATTTGATTTTCCTTCCACACCTCTAGTTTTTGGCTGATGAGCCATAAAAACCACAAAATTCTTGAGCTTAGCCTAAGAGATTTTTTAATTTTCTTCTTTACTAATACTTTTGTGGGAATTCTTTTCTTGTATGGGGGGTGCACGGGGCTTAATGGACATTTTGTAAGTTACGTTTTACTTTGAGCAAAATTTAACTACAAAAAACACTATATATATATATAAACAAAAAAATTAATAATAATAAAATAAAAAATTTGAACTATGGCTTCCTTGTAAAAAAGGGAGTAGAAAAAATATTTTCAATTTTTTCCTCTGGTTCTTTAACTTGATTTCGGTGCATGATATGTTGACCAAAATCGTAATAGTAAAGGCATATCTTCTTGTTGTTGTTGGATAGATGTTTCTGAATCTGGTTTGATTGTGGTACTTGTTGTAGAGCTGGCTTCTGAGTCTTTACTAGAAGCAGAGCCATCTAAACGCCAGGATATGGGTAACCACCAAAATGGACCATAGGCATTATCATCATTCTCCTCACCAGCATCAGTCTCCTCCTCCTCATCTAAAGGTTTGGGAGAAGAGGAGGCTGATGCTTCTGTTGTTGTTGTTGTGGAGAATTCTTCTGTTGTTGGGGAAATATCTTCAGTTGTTGTTGCTGTTGTTTTCTTACCCTGCTTGAAATCTAAACTATTTAAACCATTTATGCGTATAATTTTACTATTTCTATGACTACGATTGCTTACAACTAGCCTAGCAGCATTTGGTGTTGTTGATTCTGTTTGGGTATCGGAGGTACTGGAGGAAATAGAGGACATGGTGGAGGAAGACTCCTCATCATTACCATTTGTTGTTGTGGATTCACTTGTTTTCAAATTTCCGCTAACCTCTGGGGATTTTTCCGTTGTTGTTGTTGTTGTGGTTTTTATCAATGGCATGATTTTCGACCATATTTTTGTTGTTTCCAACCGATATTTTATGGAACTGGCAGAACTTTCACTTGGTGACGGTAATGGTGATGCTGCTGATGATGGAACTGAAACTGTGACTGGTGTTACGGATGCTGAAGCTGTGCTGGGCTTTGGTGATGTATGAATTTCATTATCAACGTCATCGTTTTGTGATGTTGTTGTTGCAGTGGTCGTTGTTGTTGTTGTAGTTTTCAATGTTGTCGCCTCAGCTGCGGTTAAGGTTATGGCTGGACGTTTGCCCTTCACCAATTCATTAATTAAACGCAATTCTTCGGCCAGATCAATTTCACTTGTTGATGATTTTACCTCCTCCGTTGTTGTTGTTGGTGGTACAGATGTTGCTGTTGTTGTGCTGGTGGTGGTGCTGGTAGGCGTAGTTGTTGTTATTGTTTCCTTGGCAACATCTGATTTAAGTGCAGCACTTTCAAGATCTTGTTTGGCAGCAAAGTGTTGATAGTAAAACCGGTCATTATTATCTTCGATGTTGGTGTTTTTGTTGTTTTTATTGACATTGTTGTTGTTGCTGTTAGTGTTGTCAATATTATCATTGCCATTATTATGAACGGTAAGTAACGGTGTCACTGGTTCTCCGCTAGTGGTTGTTGTTATTAATTCATCCGCCGTTGTTGTTGTCATCGTCTCCGGTTGCTTTGGCATGGCTCCAGATGTTGTTGTCGTTGTGGTGGTGGTTACTGCAGGCCTAGCTGTTGTTGTTCTTGTGGCCAACACCTCAACCGGTTCTACTTTCGATTTCTGCATTATATCGCGCTGTTGTTGTTGTTGATCTTTTTGTAATTCTTCAAAATCCTGATCTGAAGGTTCCAACAATTGTTGGGCATTTTCTGATGGCAAAGTGGAGGAGATAAAGGAGGAGCTGGTTGTGGAGGAGGAGGACATGGGTGTTGCGGATGTTGTTTCGGTTGTTGTTGACGAGGATGGCAATGACTCCGTCTCTTGTTCTTGTGGTGGCATTGTTGTAATTTCAAAATTACCCTCAATAATGGTGGTATCATCCAATTGTATTGTTGATGACGAGTCCATTGTTGTGGTTTCCAAGGCGGAATCCTCATTAGCCTTTGACGATGTCAAGGTTGTTGTTGTCATATCAACATCCTGATCCTCTTCTTCTTCTCTGTTGTTATCTTCATCATACAAAGGATTCATGGTTACGCTGCGTATAAATTCCGTCTTTTGTTTTTGCTCTTCCATGGTATCAGCCAAGGTGCTACGACTATCCATAGGGTCTGGTAAAATTGTGGTAATTTCTTCCACATTTTCAATTTGCAGGGAGGGGCTATTATCCAATTCCTCAAGCTCGCTGGTATTTGTGACAATCAATGGCAAACTTTCCAATTGGACCAGGGTAGAGGCTGTGGTGTGATTTAGCATTGGCATTAGGGATTCGGTTTGCAGCAAGGTTTCCAAATTTTGAGGCTTGGCATTACCCTCCCCTTCTTCTCCTCCTTTTACATTTTTCTCTTCTTCCCTTTCCTCCTCAGTATCCATAGCGGTGGTCACCAAATGTATGGCCGAATCTTCGTTGAACAAAGAAATGGTATGGGGCTTTTGATCCTGACCCTGGGCGGTGGCTGGTACCGAAATAGCTTCCAAATTTTCCAAATTGAAATCATTCGATTCGGTTATATGATTCAGGCTATGGGTCTTCGATACATTACTGGCCTCTCCAACCAGATCCTTATTACCGGTTACATTTACCACCAATTTATTTTGTTCTCCTTCTTGTTCCAACTTTACTTCCGGAGGACTAACGGGTGCCTGGGCCGAACCCTCATTCGATATTCCGGAATAATCCTCCATGGGATAATCATCTGTGGGAAATTTATGTTGAAAAATATTAAATTTCAGTGGTTCATCTTGGCTGGGGGGTTTCAGTTCCAAAATTGTTTCCGTATTCGATTTACCATCAGTTCCCGCCGTCAAATACAATGGCGGATTATAATCATTACCATCACCCATTATGGGTTCATCTTCATAATCATATTCAACATCGGCTGTGGGTGCATCACCCAATACCAAACCCAAAACATTTGGATGTATCAACACGGCATTCGAACCCGTCACTGTCGGTATACACTTGTTATCAATCTGTTGATGACCCTCGGGACATTCCACTCGCAGCGGTAGGGTAAATATTGATTTTGGCGTAACTTTACGTGATTTTATTAATTGCTTTTGTTCCGGTGGCAACATCAACCATGCCTGCCATGCTAAATTTTCTGCCGTACTTTCGATGGGTTTTGAGGTTACCGGTAATGCTGAGGTGGTCGTCATCACCGTTCTCAAGGGCATAACCAGTAGTGTCATTAGCACCACCAGTAGCCGTGCTATGCATTTTGTGGGTGTGAAGAAATCCATTTTTAATGGGGAATCTTCAGGGTAGCTGTTACTGTTGTTGTAGGGTGGAGCTTTTTGTTTTTGGTTTGTGGTTATGTTTTCTCCACGTATTCGTTGACTGTCTTTCGTTGTATGCTTCTTCTTCTTATTTTTTTGTTTAATTGTCAATATTCGTTACAAGAAAAAAATGCAAATAGTTTTTGTTGTTGTTTTATTTTCATAATTTCATTGCAAATATGTTGAACGTTGTGCCTGGCATTTAAAGGCCTTTTGAGGTTGACAGAATGTTGCTATCCAAATTATCGTATGGCTTTAGAAATGTGGCCGCAATTTGGGGGTTTTCTGTAATGAGAAGAAGAAGTTTAAAAAAAAAATATTAGTATTTATTTTATGCAGATTATGAATTAATAAAAAAAATATTTAGGCTTGATGATTGATATATATTTGCAGGATAGAAAATTCCTGACCCAAGAGAAAAAGGCCCAAAAAGGGCTAATAGAGCAAAGATCTGCAGAGAAAGGAGGTGACATTTTTAAAACTTTTTTTCGGTCAAAAATTATGTGTAGCTCCCAATTAAAAACACGGCCCAAATTTCAAACTATATTTTTGATTCTCAAAGGGTAGAAAATCTCGCAAGCAAAAACTATCACAATCTCAGCAGGAGAAGATTTTTCCCAAAAAAAAAAAAAAAAAAAAAATCTTGATTGACCAAATTTTTGTTTAGAGCATATATATCGATTCTCACAATTTTTGGGATTTTGATGATCTTGAATAGGGTCTGATAAAAATAAGGTCCGATCAAAAAATGAACGCATTATTTATTTATCAATAACTATCCAATAGCCCCCTCCCCCTCATTAAAATTTACTATCCTTGACACAATTCTGAAATACGTGTTTTTTGATGCAGCCAGCAGCTCCTGTTTTTATACCCTTCACCACACTGTGGTACAGGGTATTATGTCGTTGTGCATATGTGCAGAAAAAAGGAATCGAGATAGATCCAAGGTTCCATTCGAGAATATACATAGAATCGCTTTCAAAGCGGATTATGCATTCCCGTCTGTCTGTCCGTCCATGTATTTTTGTGAACAAAGTACAGGTAGCATTTATTATCCGATTTGGATGTAATTTGGCACATGTCACTTATTTGGCCCAAGGACTAACCCTATTGAAATTGGAGAAAATCGGTTCAGATTTGGATATAGCTCCTATCAGCAGCGGCCCCCGGGCCACCCCTCTGCGTACGTCCCTGGCTCCTATATATAGTTTCGTCCGATTTTGTATAAATGGAGCACCATACTGCCAATATTGATCCTGTTGAGGCAAAATTTTGCACAGAGTACTGAATTAGGTGTATATTGATATATGCCAAGTTTTGTTGAAATCTGGATCAGATATAGCTCCCATTTATAGTTTCGTCCGATTTTATGTAAATGGAACACCATACTGCCAATGTTGGTCCTATTGACACAAAATTTTGCACAGAGAACAGAATTAGGTCCAGGATGATGCATGCGAAGTTTTGTCGGAATTGGTTTAGATTTAGATATAGCTCCCATATAAAGTTTCGTCCGATTTTATGTAAATGGTGCACCAAACTCCCAATATTGGTTCGACTGAGACAACATTTTGCACAGAGTACTGACTTAGGTCGAGATTGATTTATGCAAAGTCTTGTCGGAATCGGTTTAGATTTAGATATAGCTATCATATACCGTTTCGTCCGATTTTATGTAAATGGGAACAGATACATGTTTACCATTATTTTGTAGCGGCGATATAAAATTCAGAACAGCTGTTAATTGTCACTTTGAAAAAATCTTTTGAAATTTTAAATATTTCCCATCCACATGAAGTTCTTTAAAGTTCTGGAAAATTTCCAATACATACATCATTCTATTTAATTGAACATCAATTTGATTTCCAACCGCATATTGTTTTCATCAAAGGATAGAGACTGAAAGGAGTAAATAGAACTGTCATTTACATACCACTTGAAATTATTTTTTCAACGAAAAAAAATTAAAAAAAACAATCCATCAACATAAAATTACATTCCGGATGTGGAGGGAAAGAACTAAGCCCTGGAAATTTTCAGTTTTTTTGTTTTTGCTTCTGTTTAAAAATATGTATGTAGTTCATCAAGAATTTCGATTTGTATTTCATACAGGTTGCAGCCCATCACTGGGGCTGTCAGTCAAAGTACAACAACAGAAAAAAACCGTTACCTTAATGGGGGCTCTATGCCATTAACCTTATCACTCATTTACTGTTGCACACTAGAACACACACACTAGAGAATAAGAATTTTTTTATATCTTATGGTCGCAGCGAACCATATCAAAAACTTGAGAAATAAAGAAAAAAACACTAAATTTATTGTTCCAATAAACACTCAACATTTTTTTTACACAAATAATAAAAAACCAAGTGAAATAATTTTATGTAATGTCAGAACAGTATTACCAAACAAAGAACGAACATTCTTAGAATTTTTACAATTTTTACAGATCATCATCTTCATTGTTTGTTTGTTTGCTTGCTAACCTTGCCCCCATAATATTGCACTTAAAGGTGGGCTTGCTAGCTGCAGCCTCATAAAATTATAACAAGCAAATAAAATTACCCCTCCAAAGTAAAAAAAAAGAAAATAAAAAACCAGTAGGCTGTTGATGGATACTTAACCTTGTACACCTAGTTGGTGTATTTTTTATTTTTGGTGGAGATCCCAAAACGAGCCATACATTAACGCAATGTCGGAACATTTATCAAATAAAAAAAGTAATATTAAAAAAAAATAATAATAACAAAAAACACCATAGAGGTGGTAAGAAGGTGGAAACAAATAAAAATTCATCACATCATAAACAAGATGAAAGATATGATATTCTCACACACACACACACACACACACTCACTCCAATTCCAGATGAATGATGGGTTCTTTCTTGCCTTCAAATGATGGTGCTGCTGTTGTTCTTCTTCTGTGTTATCAGAAATTAACAAATTTCATAATAATAATAATGTAAGCGACAGACAGGGGCTTGGCGGACAGACAGCTAGGCCCTATAGACAACATCAGCAACATCATCATAATAATAACAATAAAAATTACAATAATAATAAAACATGGTAAATGATAATGCAGTTATCATTATCAAACGCACGCGCACACACACACATACATACATATAGTCGCGATATATTATTACTTCATACCTGGCCGTGATATATGAAATTCCATACATAGATATGTAAGTATGTTGTAATGTCTCAATATGCATAATATGTGTATATATATTTAATTATATTACTGTTATTGTTTTATTTCATTCATTATAATGGTATTTGTGATTACACCCCCACACCCAAATTATGCCATAGCGAGGAAGGGTGTGTTGGGGGAGATAGTGTAACATTTTGAAGACATTTCAAATTGTATAATTATTGAATCGATAAATTAGGTAAATTGAGGTAAATTATCAAAATTTGTAATACTGAAAGGATATGGGAAATCCTTACTGGGAAAAAGGGACCCCACAAACAAATACAACCGAAATATGTACTCCTTTCAATATATTTATCAATTATACCTTACCTATTTAAATATAGGCGACTTGTTCTTAAGAAATATTTTTGTTTTTAATTATCAAGCTAAATATTTTTCAAAAAAAAATTTTATCTCAAAGAGGTTTTCGATTTTTTAATGAAAAAAAAAAATATTTTTCCATGAAAAAAATCCATTGCTTTTTTGGTTAAAAAATATTTTAAATACAACTGAATTTTGGAATTTATTTTTTTTTAATTTATAACAACATCAATTAATTTTAAAAAAATATATTTTGACATACCCTTCCAATTTAAAATGATATTCGAAATATTTTCCTCAAATTTAATTTTCTCAAGAAAATACAATACAAAGTGTTTTGGAAATCACCCACATTATTCAAATTAAAGGAAGCCATAAAACACAATTTTCCTCAAAGTAGCGGTAGTGACAGTTCGAGGTTCTTGACAAACAATGATAATGATGGTGATGGTTAACGGGTTTTCCCATGACATTTTTATGTGTGGTGGTTTCAAAAATTTATTTCAAACCAAACACACAAAAATGTGGATCATTGTAAAATAATTTGATGTGAGAAAAAAATACCGAACTGTTAACCTCCATACATAATTGTAAAATATGTGGGTAGATTTGGTTCAAGTGGTAGAGAATTGGTGAAGAATTGTGAGAAAATTTGTTGAAAAAAAATTTTTTTTTGAAAAAAATGATATGTGAAAAATGTCTATTTTTTGAAAAAAATGAGATGTGAAAAATATCTTGGACAGCGGAATGCATTTTATGTGATGATATAAAAAAATGGGTTATTTTATTATAATAATATATTTAAAATAAATTATTAATTTTAGAACAATGAGATCATGGACAAAACAAGTAAATTTGGGCTGAATTTTTATAAAAAATTTTGGGGCACTGAAATGTTTTTTTTTTTTAATTAAATTTTGCTATTTTATACAGCGCACACAATAATATTTTATAATTTATAATAAATTGTTAAGATTTTTTCAATGTTAATTTGAGATTTAAGGGAACCCCCCCCCATTCTCGATTTTAATTTTTCAAGATTTTCAATGGGCTGGTAAATGAATACCAATGCTTGTTAAGGTTTGTAACTTTGCACATATATAATTGAAGATTTAAGAGAAGAAAAATAATTTACAAAAATTTTTTATTTTTAAGATTTTAAATGGGCTGGTAAATGAATACCAATGCTTGTTAAGGTTTGTAACTTGGCACATATATATTTGAAGATTTAAAGAGGAAGAAAAATAAGTTACCAAAATTTGTTGTTGTTGTTTTTTTTTGGTTCAAAGAAAAGTCCATATTTTCGATGGCGGGCATGATAACTCCTCACTGGAACATCGGAATCCGAAAATTCCAATTGTTT